ACACATCATGAAATACTTCTCAGACCAATCCAGTTGAGAATAGTATACATGTCATCATCAACAGGTAATAAGCCATATCTGTTTCCCACTAGCGTCCTGCCTCTCTATTTGTTCTCTTGCTATCTTTCTCTATCCTATTCTCTTCACCCACCTCAATCCACACTGTCCTGTTCTCATTAAGTACTTTCACTGCTCTTATGTCCTCCAATTTTTCGCTCTCTACCATAGAGTGTGGATAGTCGGTATATATTGAGTGGATACATACAATATCATCAATTTTTAATAGTGATTACTGTAGGCAGTGTGAACTCTGAGCTGAGTAACAGGACAGATTCTAATGAGCAAATTACAAGTAATCAAACACATTAATATCTTAAAGTCTACATTTCAGATAGAAATACTGGAAGCAAGGACATACACATACATGAAACTCTGCAGTTTTATATTTGTCTATACTCTAAGTTACGTTAATGACATTAGGTGCCAACTGTAATGTATCTTTTTTGTTTGATTGTTTTCTAGTTGCTTTTTTTTTCTTGTCATTCTCTTTAATGTTACTAAAATAACCAGAAAAGGTTATTTTAGTAACATTATACCAAAATTGCTCAAAATCATATATATCAATGGAAAATACATTATTTTTAAGAGTTGCATATAGGGGGACCAGCAGTTAGCATAATGGCTATGTAGCTGGACTCCCACGTAGTCGACCGTGGTTCACGTCCCGGACCCGATGGCTTAAAACTCACACCGGGCATGTGTGCGTGCATGCCCAAGATCCCAAGAGGAGAATGGAGGAGAAGGGATTGCGGCATGGCCATCCTCCCAGGAGGGTGATTTCTCGCTTTCTGTCTCTCTGTCTCTTTCTGTCTGTCTGGCAAGCACACGCGTCCTATAGCAAAAAACTTTCAAAAAAAAAAAGAGTTGCATATAGGTAGATAGCAGGTGATATGGTGGTTGAGGCACTGGATTCCCACATGGCCAATTATGTTTCAAGTTCCAGAACTACTGGCAGCATGCTTTTTCACTTTCTCTCTCTCTCTTTCTTCCTCTCTCTCTCTCTCTCTCTCTCTCAATCAATCAAGCAAATAAAAATAAATAACAATGATTCTTTAATAAATAGAATTTTTTTAAAAAAGAGTTGCATTCCATTCTGTGAGATAATAATACTTTTAAAATATTTCAGATGCAAGGCTAGGAATAACATTGTAGAGTAGAAAGATATTAAAGAAAAAATTGGATGGATATGAGAGAGTGTAGAAAGCTAAATACAGAGTTACTTCAATTGTATAGACATGTACTTTCACAATCTGGTCAGAGAATAACAACAGTTGTCTCCAAGGCTATAAACTCTGCAATTATGGCATTGTTTAATCTCCAGGTCAATGATTTATTCACAATTTCTAGTGAAACAATATTTTCAGGGCCCTCTTTATGTCTTTATTCCTCAGACTGTAGATGAAGGGGTTCAGCATGGGGGTGACCACAGTGTACAGCACCGAGGCTGCTGCACTTGAGTGTGAGCTGTGGGTAGCACCAGCACTAAAATACACTCCTAAGATTGTACAATAAAATAAGGAGACAACGGAGAGGTGAGAGGCACAGGTGGAAAATGCTTTGTACTTCCCCTGAGCTGATGAGATTGCACGAATGGAGGAAACTATCTTAGAGTACGAATAAAGGATCCCAGTGAGGGGGCCAACACCCAGCAGCATAGATGCAAAATAGCTCACCAAGTCATTAAGAAAAGTGTCAGAGCAGGCAAGGTGGATCACCTGATTAAGTTCACAGAAAAAGTGGGGGATTTCCACATGTGTACAGAAGGACAGCCGCAATGCCATTATACTTTGTAACAAGGAATACAGGACAAATATGATCCAGGATGCCAGAACCAGCTTTCCACAGAACCAGGGGTTCATGATGACCATGTAGTGCAAAGGGTGACAGATGGCCACATATCTGTCATAGGCCATCACTGTCAGGAGAAAGTCATCTATCCCTGCAAAAATTATGTGAAAGAACATCTGGATGATGCAGCCTGCATAGGTGATGACCTTGCTCTGTGTCTGGATGTTCACCAGCATCTTTGGGACGGTGGTGGAGGTGAGACAGATGTCCACAAAGGACAGGTTGGAGAGGAAGAAGTACATGGGGGTGTGCAGGTGGGAGTCTGAGATGGTGGCCAGGATGATGAGCAGGTTTCCACACACAGTGATCAGGTACATGGAGAGGAAAAACCCAAATAGGAGGGGCTGCAATTCTGATTCCTCTGAAAGACCCAGAAGAAGAAATTTTGAAATTTCTGTATCATTTTTTGGTTCCATAGTAACTCCCTGAAAAGAGGAAAATATGATGGCTAATTTCACATGAACAAGTATTACACAGTTGAAATGCCAACATTAATATTTTACAGTCACAAAGTTGTGCTTTATATTTTTGTATGGATCTAGTCTGCTCAAGGCTTAGTGCTATCTCAGCTTAGGACTCCTTATCTCACTTCATTCTTCCCATAGCTCATGTATTCTACAGGATTTTTAGCTAATTTATTTGGTTTTTTGTTTGTTTGTTTTTATTATGTATTTATTCATTTACAGTCATTCACTGTGCATTGATTCAATTTACAAAATGAGATTTTCCATCCAGGATACAAGGATATAACCCTACATGTTATCATCAACAAATAATTTTCTATTTCTTCTTTTATATTTTGCTTCCCCCCACCCTGTTTTCCTACATCTCACCCTCTGCCAATTCCCCCCCTTTTCCCATAGTGTCTCTGGTATGTACAATTGTTTTCCATGTATTTTTTTTTCACATTTTATTGATTCACTAAAGATCTTAATTAATTTAAATACTTTCAATAGCAAGCACAGCTGATATATACAAATTTATGAATGCATGTCTGAATATAATATGTTCACTTTACTCACTAAAATTTATGCCTAAATTCAGACATGCTAATTTATTTGTTAACAAAAAATAATAGTACATATTAATGGAGTAAAATGTGATGTTACAATGAGATTGTATTTGTTTTTTTGTTTTAGTTTTGCTATTATTGAGCAATTGCACTCACCGGACACAGAGACAGACAGAAAGAGAGGGAAAGTGAGAAATCTCCCTCCACAGGAAATGGCCATACCACAAGTACATGTAAACATACCTGGCTTTTTTTTTTCAAGCTGCCAGGTCTGGGATTAATCTGGCAGTCTACCAGATGGAATTCAGCCACCTTAACTACCACAACGTCTCCTGATTCAATAACTGTACCTTTATATCCATTGAAAACAACTCTGAGGCCAGCAGGTGGCATGGTGACTAAGTTGCTCCCACATGGCCAATTGTGGTTCAAGTCCCTGACCTGGTGGCTTGATTCCTCACTTTTCCTCTGTTTCAATCTGGCCAAGCTAAATAATAATAATAATTAATAAAATAAATAATTTTTTTTAGAAAAAGGAAAACTACTCTATTTACTCCTTTCATCAATTCCCTGGAAACCACAGTTCTGTGTCTGCTCCTATGACTTTGACTACTTCAGATACGTTAGTTAAATGGAATCACTTAGTATTTTATTTCAAAAGTATTCCATGGATCAAAATAGTTCTAAAAATCTCCTTATTGTTATCAGTTGATCAGTATTTAGACAGTTGCATTATAAGATAATTATTGGTAGTAGTGGTTAAGGTGCTGTACTCCAACTTGGCTGACTGTGGTTCAAGTCCTGAACCCAGCAGTTTGAAACATGTATGTCTGTATGCCCAAACTCTAAGAGGAAAATGGTGGACAACCACATGGGGAGTGATTTCTCATTTTCCCTCTCTCTGTCTCTCTTTCTCACTCTCTCAGGTGACCATATGTGCCCTATGGCAAAAAAAGAAAGAAGTATTTATGCTTACAACTAACGTAGAAGAATTTATCTAAGTTCATAAAAATTGGGGGTTTGTGAGTTTGTACACAACTAGATTTCATAACACCAAATCTATTAACTTTTTACATTCACCAAATATGTTGATATCCATCAACACGTAAAATAATTCAATGTTATTCTGAAAAATTTAATAATTTAATTTATTATTAGGAGAAAAATAAAATAAAATATACTCAGACCCCAGAACATAAAAGCAAAACACTTTCATAATTTGCAATAAAGTAAAAAGCTAAGAGACACACAAATTTATTCAATATCATTAGCAAGAAAATAGTTGTAGTAAAATCTCTTGAATATTCTCATTATGACCTTTGAGTAAATTTTTTATGTGAATGCCCAACATGAAAGGAGAAACTGTGAAATGTATGTCTCGTGAACTACTGTTAAAAGCTATGAATTGCAAACATCCAAGTCATTTGGATCCTTCTAAAAATACAAAAAATATGAACAAATACACTTATTTCAAAAATTCCTTAACCAACCCTAAAGTCATCGAACATTTCATCACAACTCTGAATCTACTTTTACTACTTCGTAAACTGTAAATTTCTGGCCACATGTTCTAATTAGACTGAAATCATTTTATTTCTCTCATTCCTTCTTTACTCTCATTCAATTGGATGTCCATTCCCATCACTCAATTGTCCACAATGATGCCTGCTTTGCTAAGTCTGACAGACACATGACCTGTTAACATATTAAATAAATTAATGATTAATAACTTTGTCAGACAAGTAACCAAATGCATCAATCTCTCAGCTCTGGCTAGGCTGATTTGGCTCTCTGGTGGCCTCCAGTAGATGTCCTTGTTATCCATTCTCTCTGACCCATTCCTGTGGTACCTACCGGGCTCTCAGACTCACCTGTATGGGATCTCAGAGGGGACAGTTTTCTGTGGAAGGGTATATTTCACCCTAAATGGTTGGTGATGGAGACTGCAGCTCTATCCTTAGACAAGACATAATGATAGACAAGTACAGAGCCCTAGACATTCTGGTGATTCCAGAAAAATCAACCATGTCTTGCCCAACCCAAGGCTGTAGTTCTTGAGGGACAATAACATATAAAATATTTACAGCTCCCTGTATCTGCTCATTAGGTCCATTTCTTCCTTATAACCACAACCTCTTATAACTGATTTCCCTTGTGGACACTGGTATGGGAAGAAAAGAAAATTTCCCTGTTGATTCACTGTTCTCAAGAGACCAAGTTGAAACTGTGATGAATTGATCTTTATTACACGTCCTCTGTAAACTCTCCTACCTCCAAAGGTCATTAGCACCTTTCACAAACGTGAATTAAATTTTAATTGTCATGGGTCAGCAGGTGGCGTGGCAGCTAAGGTACTGGATCTCATATGACTGAATGCATGGTTCTAGTCCCAGACCAAGTGGCTTGATAAATCATCCTGGACACATGTACATATTTTCAAAATCCTGAGCGGAGACTGAAAAATAGTGAATATAGTGTGGCCATTGCCCCTGGGGAGTTATTTCTCACTCTCTCTCTCTTTCTCTCTCTCTCTCTCTGGCGAGCACACATGCCCTATAGTAAACTAAAACTAAATAAATAAGTGACTACACTGGTATTCCCTTGCAGTAACTAGAGAAATGTGAAGAACATGAATGTTTTTACAAGAAATTTGTGACCCTGAATCAAATGACTGGGAGAATTTGAACAGATTCTTGAGCACTAAAAAATATATTGGATGATACTGACATCTGTTCATTCACTGTCCCTTCAGTGGTTATGACAAAATTTTAAAGAGGGGGAGGTAGTTCATTTTAAGCATTCCAAGGAGTTGTAATTACAGCCAGTACCGAAGTATTCAAGAAGACACAGGAAGATATTTAATGAAATAGCATAAAACACACAAGTCAGTCCTTCACCCCAATGAATAAACACCCTTCAACATGGACACCAATTTTCAATCCTTTGACAAGAATTGAAAGATGAACAGAATGAACAAGAAACATGGTTCTTAGTCAATACAAGATCAAAATGTTCACTTCATCATATTTAAGTCTATCTCTGACTCTATGGCTGTATCTGTTCAACTATTTGCTTATATTTGACTTTCCATATACAAAACATTTTGACTCAGGTAACTGATTTTTTTTTCATAACAGAATGTGTTGATTCACATGAGGAAAGAGAGCAAGAGAGAATGAGAGGGAGACAGAAAGAGAGACAGACATAAGCAGAAAGAAACACCTTCTACAGTTCATGGTCAGTATCCCCAAGGCTGTGGTCAAAAGAGAACCCTCTAAAGAGAACACTCTTGCATTGTTATTGGAAATATATATTTGTGCAAACTATGTAAAGCAATGTATAGGTTCCTATAAAACTACAAATAGAACTACAAGGTAACCGATAATCCCACTCCTTAGTATTTACTCAAAGAACAGGATAACGAAAGACACTTACACATTCATGTTTATTGTTGCATTAGTCACAATTGTTAAAACATGGGATCAACCTAAGTGTCTAAAAACTGATGACTGGGTTGAAAACTGGTGGCACATGTGTACTATGGAATATTACTCAGCCATAAGAAACAATGACCATCCTATTGTTTTATTAGAAGTAGATGAATATAGAGGACTTAATATTAAGAAGCTACCTAGACTTTGAAAAAGGTATATTGTATATCCCAAATCAATATGAACTGAATGTCTTCCCTGCATGGCAGAAATGAAAAGATCCAAAGATATGATAGTGAAGAGGATAAATGTAGGCAGCAGAGATTGTAAGTGAAGGCAGTGGGTGGTTGAAAGTAAGGGGAAAGAGAAAAGAGAAGGAATGACTAATAGACAAACAACTGAAAAGTTCTGCTAAAAAAAATCTGTAAGTTTTGCTGTAATTTTTTTTTTAATTTGCCATTTGGGAAAGGCAAAAATGGAAGCGTAGAAGAAGATTAAATCTGCCATGAGACCTGAGATCTAGTGCTTTTAGTAAATAAGAAATGAAGATGTTTTGCTGAGAAGTCACCTTAGGTCGACATACTCCTCAATTCCCAATGAATCTGCCACACAAAGGGAGAAAAAAGAATGGCAAAGAGATGGCAGGCCACCACCTCCTGTGCACCTATGATTGCCAGATTGAACTTCTAGAAATTAGGAAGAAATAAATAACCCATCAGATGACTAAAAATCACCACAGAGGCACAAGAAATATGAGATATCAAGAAAATACCTCTCTGCCGAGGGAATAGAATAATTAACTCTTCTTCATCCATAGACAGTAGAATGGAACTCACAGAAATGTCTGATAAAGAATTTAGAATATTCATAGTGACAAAGCAGTGATGGAAGAGAAAAGAGATAATGAACTCTAGAAAAAAAGAGCTGATGAGTTCCAGGAGGTGAACTGATAGAAGAGAAAAGAGATAATGAACTCCAGAAGAAAAGAGCTGTTGAGTTCCAGGAGGTGAGGAAGTTCTTACAAGAGCTGAAAGAGGAAATACACACCATAAAAAATAATCAAATGGAACTGTTGGAGATGAAGACTATAATATAGGAATTCAAAACCTCCTTTGGATGTATTAAAAACAGGTTAGATCATGCAGAAAATTGAATCTCAAATGTACAAGACAGAATCTCTGGACTACTAAAATCCACCATGAAGACTGAGAAAATAGCCCCCCAAAATGAGAATAATATAAAAGAAGTACTAGGTACAATTAAACATCCCAACATCCAGATAACCGGTATCCCAGAAGGTGAAGAGATTAATAAAGGCATTGATAATCTATTCCACAAAATCCTGGAAGAAAAATTTTCAAACCTAAAGAGACATTCAAAGATCCAGACCCCAAATAGAATCAACCCAAGAGTATCTTCTCCAAGACACATTATAGCCAGAATGACCAAAATCACAAAGAGAAGATACTAAGATTGGCAAGAGAGAAACCTCAAGTTATCTACAAAGGATATCTCTTCAGGCTAACAGCAGATCTCTTATCAAAAACAATATGAACAAGGAAATAATGGAAAAATATACTCAAAGTGTTAAGTGAAAAAACATTTCAACCAAGAATAATATATCCAGCAAGATTATCCTTCATATGGGAAGAGAAGACAAGAACATTCTCAGATAAAGAAAACTTGAAAGAATTTACTGACATCAGATCAGTTGTACAAGACATTCTGAAGGGAGTGCTATCTCGGGAAAACTAAAGTTAGACACACAGAAATGAGTTCTAAAACAGCTAAGAAAATGGCCTGCTTAATGGTAGGGACAAAGCCAAAGTTGAATGTTATCTTCCAGAATTTAAATGGAAAAATTGGACCACCACAGAAGATAGATTAAGTACATGATTTTGACCTGGTGATATAGAATTTTATGACTTTTGACTAAAACATTACCAATCTTCTTCTATGCTTTGTTTTCCAGAGTTAAGGATTTTTGTCTTCTCTTAAGTTGTAGACAGGTCCATGTACCTACTATTTGAACAGAATCCTAACCTGTTTTCTGGCTTTAAGTAAAGTTCCT